TAAACGTGTCCTGTGGGGATGACAGTGTTTGGAATACAACTCTTAGAAAATGTACCGGTAAGAATCAAACACACGAGAGCTTTTGTTTTCATAGTTCAGTTTCTAGTGATTCCGCTTCTAAAACACAGGAACTGGTCAAAGCTCACTCAATAAAAGGCTTATGATACTATTATACTAGAACGTGCAATGTTTTAGTTTCAGGATCATGTTTCAGTTAAAAGAGCTTTTAAGTACTAATTCATATTTTTCAAAAAATTATATAATTCTGCATTTGCTTATCTAAAACAGATAATATGACTGTACCATACTATGTGACACTTAATCGTCAGTATGTAAACCTGGCTTTGTTGGACGGAATTGTTCCGTTATGTGTGAATATCCTCAGTATGGTTTCTTATGCAGCAAGCAGTGTGACAATTGTAATGAATCATGTGACCACAGAACAGGCTGTCCAGAATCAGGTAAAAATAAAAAGTAAGAAAACTCACTATAACACACTTGAAACATGTCTATAAAATAAATCATACATTTTTATGGTATATTTTTACTCACTAGTATTTTTATTTGTTATCTTCAAGAAAAAACATCTTATCTTTTAACTGTGAGCCAGTCACAGTGGGAAATGACTACAATGACTATACAGAGTACAGACAAGGATTCTATAATGCCAAACGTTACAGAATCAGCCCAGACCAGGAAACAAAGCAGTAATGAATTGAACAGGAAACTTAGAATTTCAGTTACAACGCTCGGTACCACAATGGCTAATTTTTTTTATATAAATATCATAGGACATTGTTCATTGAAAGGAATCATCTCACGTATACATACTCGACAATTCATTCTTTATATTGACTTTGAAAAGGTTACTTTTTCATGCAAAATATCTTTTAGATTGAGATTAAAATAATCATTGAATACATATCATGTTCAATGGTACACAATCATTAACGCCCGAAGCGTAAGTATTCAAGTTTAATTTTGCTTAAGCGGAAAGTCTTAGAGCAATGTGAACTGTATTTTGAGGATTTTACTTTGTGGTGAAAATAAATTATTTCGATGATTCAAATAGAATGATACTAAACATTTGAAAGTGACATGAATGATTTTAATTGTATGATGGAATACAAAGTATTGTGTTGTAATTGAATTGTAATGCGTTTTTAAAGAGTTTCTAATTATATTATCGCAACAACGTGCACAGAATTGCACGTAGGCATATTTATCATGAAGCGCTATGAAATATGCCTACGTGACAAGTCAGTGTGATTCACACACCAATAACTCACACAAAACTTAAAAACATTCCTTAATTAAGATACTTCATAAGTCTGGGGCTATGATCTTAAAATACGCACATAGACAACCAAAGTACCTATCACGCTTGTAACGGTAATTTGCAACCTGTGTTTTCCCGATGAGTTTTTCAAAAGATTTCGGATACTTTTTGAAAAGCTGTTGCTACTGTTAACAAATCATTAAAAATTTAATTACACACATCAAAATAATTTGTAACTTGAATGGGAAATCAACCGTGATTTACAGGTTTCTTTTTGTAAATAAAAGAGAGAATGATGGAGAATAAAGGCTCATTCCTATTAAGATAAGTGCTCTTTAATATCATAGAAGAAACCTTATTATTATTATTTTTTAAACCTTTTATTTATTTTAAAAACATTTTCCTATTTTAAATTAGCTTTTAACTTCCTAGTTTAGATCTAATAAGACTATTTATTGATTCATTAGCATGTCAATTTCCTCCTTCTACAACTCATATAATGCAGTTGGGTGCAACGCTTATAATCTTATTTCTGTACAGCGTCACAGGAAATGAACCTGGAAAAACAACTGAACAAAGGTTTGCAAAACCGATATCAATTTTAAATTCTTGTGTTAGAACCTTAAGAAAGATATGTGAGTGACTTTATTTGTGTGTTTTATCAGCAGTGTAAACGTGTCCTGTGGGGATGACAGTGTTTGGAATACAACTCTTAGAAAATGTACCGGTAAGAATCAAACACATGAGAGCTTTTGTTTTCATAGTTCAGTTTCTAGTGATTCCGCTTCTAAAACACAGGAACTGGTCAAAGCTCACTCAATAAAAGGCTTATGATACTATTATACTAGAACGTGCAATGTTTTAGTTTCAGGATCATGTTTCAGTTAAAAGAGCTTTTAAGTACTAATTCATATTTTTCAAAAAATTATATAATTTTGCATTTGCTTATCTAAAACAGATATTATGACTGTACCATACTATGTGACACTTAATTTTCAGTATGTAACCCTGGGTTTACTGGACGGAATTGTTCCTTTATGTGTGAATATCCTCAGTATGGTTTCTTATGCAGCAAGCAGTGTGACAATTGTAATGAATCATGTGACCACAGAACAGGCTGTCCAGAATCAGGTAAAAATAAAAAGTAAGAAAACTCACTATAACACACTTGAAACATGTCTATAAAATAAATCATATGGTATATTTTTACTTACTAGAATATTTATTTTTTATCTTGAAGAAAAAACATCTTATCTTTTTACTGTGAGTCAGTCACAGTGGGAATTGACTACAGTGACTATACAGAGTACAGACAAGGATTCTATAATGCCAAACGTTACAGAATCAGTCCAGACCAGGAAACAAAGCAGTAATGAATTGAACAGGAAACTTAGAATTTCAGTTACAACGCTCGGTACGACTTGTGCAGTACTTTATATGGTGTATTTTGGCTGGCTTCTACGTGATAAATTAAGCACAAGGAACAATTTAATAACGACCAACGATTTGTCTGATGTTGAAAATGCTCATCAAAACATGCTTGGTCCAGACATAGTAACAATAACATTCGAATGAAAATCAAATAAGATAAATTCAGACGATACTAAACTTACTAGGATATGCTGTGTACATTCCTTATTTTAGACTTGTAATAAATACCTTTTGAGACATATATACATGTAACATCAAAATTAATCTTGTGAGATTACTGAGTAGTGCGAGTGGACGGTTGATCTAAATATGTTGAATGGATATCAGAGCATAAAATGAGAGTTTTAATTTAGTTTTATATTATAAGTTAAAGAATGATACAAATACATATGGTATATATGTTGAGTACACGACTAGACTTTTTGATTATAATTTTAGTGCGGAGGTGTCTTTGTGAATCAGGAGACTGAGGTTCTTTTATTATGATAATAGCATCTATTAATTTAAAGAATAGATGCACTTATTTTATGAGGAAAACTTTGTTGCTGCTATTTGAGTTGGGTTAGCTTGAATATAATTTAGATCAGGTTCGGGATATCTCAAATTCCTCCTCTTTGCCCTGGATCCTAAAACGAAAGGTATACGAATTTTGTAGCAGACAGAATTTTCAAAAAATATGCTTTTAATCACGATTGTTTCTTAAATCCCAACCCATCCCACCCCATATTGTGAAGTAATGGTAGAATATATACATCTTGATTTTAAACAATTTTAGAAGTTTTTGTCTGCTGTTGGGGTTTTCTCTATCATTTCAGGTTTGACTTGAATATTGAATTCACTTGGGAGATCTTCGTCGTGGTATTCCATGGGCCTGACCTTGTATGCTGTAATTTTGATTGCGTGTTTGGCCTCGCTCGAAGAGTCCTTGATGACATTCCATTGGATTACAATTGGCTTTTCTTCTTGTCGTCTCAATTGAATATTCCGTTTGCGCCGAGCTATTCAGCTGATGCTATAATTCATTGTGCTGCTGCTGCTTAAAACAAACTCATTTACTGTGAAAATGTGTGCTGCTTTCAACAAATGAATGAATTGGTCTGCTTAGCTTGCTTGAAACAAACTCAATTGCTATGCAAAATGTGTACTGCTTCCAACAAATTTCATGCACAGTGCTTTTTGCTTGCTAAAATATCTTTAGTATCGTTCGCGGTTTGATAACCCGGAACGATAACTACATACATGTAAACTTGTAAAGTTTATTTAAAATACATGTACAGAAAATTTAATTGTAAGGTTAATTACCGTTCACGGTGTACCCGGAACGGCCATTATTCTGCTTATTATAAGTACATGTATGTACATGTAATTTTATGCTTTCATGTTGCTTGCTGCTGCTGCTTGTTGTAATTATTTGGGGTCGCCCTTTACGCTTGGCGACCCCTTGCTGCTTTTAAATATGCCACGACCAACAATCGCCAATATCAAAATAAACGTGTATAAAGTCATGTTTGTTTCATTTTCCTCTATATAGATAATCGCTAAAGTAAAAAAAAAAATAAATTAAAAAAAAAGTCTTATATTGAATTGAATTTTTTCAGCCCAAGTAGTAGCCTATTAGTTTTACCTGGGATTATGTTATTAATTTCATTTTTTATTTTTAGTTAATATAACACCATAAAAATCGGCAATTTCTTTGTGGAATATGACGAGTCAGACGTTATATTACCAAGAACGTACGTAACGTCTAGGGACTCTGGTGTGGATGGGAACCAGTCTAGTACTATAACAGCACAAAGACTCCAAGCACATTATACATATATTTCCTACTATACCTAAACTTCCATCTTTCATTTGCTCCAAAACCTAATATTTTTCAATTTTTGATAATTTCGTTTTTTTTTTTTTTTTTGATTCAGGTAAAAATATCACAGAATGTCATGATTCACTTTTAAAACATAACAGATTAGCATACAATTAGAAAACACACACATTATCTCAGCACTATGCTACTTAAAGAAGATCTAGTTACAGATGATACATGTAGATACCACCTAAGAATAGCCTATAAAAGCCTTAGTAAAAAAGCTTATTTCCAATGGGGTCCTCAAATAACAGCCATGTTAGTAAACAAAAAATAACAAAATTACGTAAACATTGGAATTTAGGCAGGTACTTTAAAGTATAGGGATAGCATAATGCTTTGAAAAATGACTTGTTTACAGTAGCACATATTTTTCTTTATAATTATCACAAAATGCTTATGATAATAAACAAGAGGCCCATGGGCCACATCGCTCACCTGACCACTGTGGCTAGGAAAAAGTAGAAATTGGTTTCATTATTGAAATTTTAAATCCAAAAGTAAACCTTTGACCAGTTATGGTTTTGCTATTCTTGAGAAGAAATTTTTAAAAAATTTTCCTATCTATTTCTATTTAAAACTTTGGTCGGCCATTGTGGCCCCGCCCTACCCTCCAGGGTCATGATTTGAACAAACTTGAATCAACACTACCTGAGGATTCTTCGATATAAATATGATCAATCACGGCTTTGTTATTCTTGAGAAGAAGATTTTTAAAGAATTTTCTTTTATATTTCTATGTAAAACTTTGGTCGGCCATTGTGACCCCGCCCTACCCCTGGGGGTCATGATTTGAACAAACTTGAATCTACACTACATGAGGATGTTTCCCAATGAGTTTCATTTTTCCTGGCTCTGTGGTTCTTGAGAAGAAGATTTTTAAAATATACCACCAAATTTTTATTAATAGTCTAGTCATTCTACTGAAAAATGAGAACTAATTGCAACAGTTTATATTTTAATGCAGATTTGTAGATAAGCTATTAGTAACTCACATATAAAAAGTTTAGAAAAATTCACTCAGGGGAAAGTTGGGAAATCGGAAGATTAAAATTAGGGATCAGTATGAATTTAGAATTACCCATTTGCACACCGTACTATTTCTATATGAGCTTTCTATGACAGACAGCCTGTAAACAATAGCCAATTAGCATTTAAAGTTGTTGTTTTAACTTGTAGTTTGTTATGCAATCAACTAGTCCCTCCAATACGAAAATTCGTAATATTACGAAAAAGGATAGAATGCACTTTACCGGTACGGCCGCCATTTTGATTCTAGATCCGCGCGTGAGAGTGCGCGGCGTAAAAACTTAGCAACGTATCAACTATGATGGGCGACGCCATTTTGTTGTGTAAGAAACTCGAAGCGAGAAAAAAAGATATCTAAATGGGTTTTCGCTTTTTTAAGCGGGGGTGTGGGGGCGGCAGCCCCCATTACGCAAAAAAATGAATAAAACAAACTTACCTTAGTCGTTAGATAAATCTGCGCTAAGACTCGGAGCCATACGTACGTGTCATTATACATACATGTAGAACAATTGTGTCTTTTTTGCCGAGTTGTAAATACGTTTTTATGGGTGATGAAGGAGATAAACGTCAATTTTTAATTATTGCTACTATCCTAGTGCATTCTTGTTTTAGTAGATATTTCCTATATAACTGCATTCCATGTGGTCTCAATGATTGTAAAGTATCCAGTGTTTTGCAAATGAAATCTCTAGATTTTTTAGTTCGTAAATCCAGGAGTATGTTAGATTAACTGCAGCTCTGTTTCCAGAAATCTAAGATGTGTCTCTTTATACGTTTCATTTTTCTTATACTGCCGATTGCTGTTTCTCGAAACAAGACCGTCCTCACTGCATGTTTACAAGTTTTGCCCCTCCACTTATTCAGCATTTCCATAAACTAAGGATCACATTTATCGCTAAAATTTCCAAAAATTCTAGAATGCTGCAGTCAGTCAATTAAAAATATCCATTCATAGAAAACACAATACAAATCATCGTAAAAAGGTGCAAGTTGAATCACTGTTTACAATCATATAGAGTGGAAGTCAAACTTTCTATTTCACATCACCAACCCTGACCAATCACAGCACTGAAATAAGTCACGTGCTCAACAACGTCACGACTTTGGAATGTGGCCGACAAAATGAAAGCCAAAGGTTTGTTTTGAAAGTGCTTTTAATTTTAATTAATAGCTTCGTTAATTAAACGAAGTTTATTAACATGAAAAATGACGAGGAATTCAAAAATAGGTTATTTTTTGCATTTTATTGCCTTTTTAACGAAATCGTCACGCTGACGCGTGACTCTCTTATAGAGAAAGAGCACGTGCTATTTCCATGTTATTTGGACGTACCGGTAAAGTGCAGTTGTCCCACGAAAAAACGTAAGATTACGAAAAAGCGTAATATTACAAGTTATCGTAATATAAAACTTATATTACAATTTTTCGTAATGTAGTTAAATTACAAATACGCGTAATATAGCAGATGTATGAGACTATATTACGAGTTTTCGTAATCCAAGACAAATTCAAGCATAGCAGGAAATTGAATGGCGGGTAGCAAAGTATGACGTTTAATATGAGATGTCACGGGCGATAACTTGTACGACTCTTAATGAGATTTGAATTCTGTGTATTTCAATAAGAATTGCACGAACAGTTGAATTATGAGACGATCGAGGGTGTGATTTTTAGGGTAGACTTCGGAAGAAAAGTAGGGAGTTCGGGTGATATAGACCAATGCGACATGCTTAAGCGAATATTGAAATTTACTGGAAAATTGGTCTTATCCTTGGGAAAATTCCTATAAAAGAATAATAAAAGAAATTGTCCACTCACCCATCGCTGGCGGTACTTTCTTCTTGAATTTCCATGCTTTCTGATAGGCGTAACGGACCAAACTGACCGCCCGCTATCAGCACCCGTGGAATCTGATATATTACTGACATCATACTTTGCTACCCACCATTCAATTTCTTGCAATGCTTGAATTTGTCTTAGAATACGAGAACTCGTAATATAGTCTCTTACAATCTGCTATATTACGCGTATTTGTAATTAAACTACATTACGAAAAATTGTAATTTAAGTTTTATATTACGATAACTTGTAATATTACGCTTTTTCGTAATCATACGTTTTTTTGTAATATTACGAATTTTCGTATTGGACTGGACTGATCAAAACTAAATTAAAAAAATTATATATTTTGATTTTCAAAGAAGTGGAGTTTTGACTTCCACACCGGCCAAATATCATCTACACAAATATAATGGTTGCAATTACCATTCATGTAAACAACAAAGTATGGAACGCTGTTTGTATTCACAATATACATGTATGTGAAATTCCTAAATGTGAATGTGTTTACTTTCATTTTATCTGTAAACACCTGATAGATAGTATTGGAATTTATACACAAGAAACAAAAAATGTATGGAACACAAGTAGTATACAAAGTAAGTCAAAACAGCCTTTTCTAAAGAATTCTGCAAGGAAGCTTATCATACAAGTACATGTACAATGTATATCAGAGTTGTTACAATT